CTGGTATTGTGCACTGCTTTGCGGCCCTGCAGGTTTTTTCCATCACCGATGGGACCCTGGCCACCCTCACCTAGGAAAGAGGTCCTCACCAGGGGCCATGCATTGCTGCCACCCACCCCCCCTTGGAAGGCACGAAGGCAGGAGATCTGGCCCCATGCCTCCTCTGCAGGATAAGATTTGGGGGCTTTCCACCTGATTACTGGGGAGTTTGGGTGTGACAGCTAACAATTGGGCAATAGGACAGTTGTTGTGTCTTGGGGATGACTAACAGCAGTGGGACAGGTCAGCAGCTCTTCTCCAACACATCGCCAAGGAGGAAATCCTGATGCCTTCCTGCTTCCCCCTGAGAGTTACAGTGTGTGTGCTGAAGGTGACTCGGAACAGCCCCAGGGGCTGGAGCTGTACTCGATACTGGATATTGCCTGTAGACCCCCAAAAGCAAGAGGTTTTCACCACCAGCCTGGTGATGTGCAACCAGACCTTGCACCAGCCCCTCAGCCAGCGATTCTTGCAGCATCGCTTCTGGCCAGACAAACTGGATGTCACCCGTACAGGCATATCACCATACTGACTGCAAATAATTCTGGATCTAAATCAGTACCCCAGTCTGGGCTAAAAGTCATTTCATGACCTGGCTCGCTCCACTTGACCACTGGCTAATTTTTTCTGGTTGTAAATGATATTTTTTCCTGTTGTGGATGAGGAAGACCTAAGGACAGGAGAAGGGCATGCTAAGGATGGAGAAAAACAAGAAGCTGCATGTGGGATCCTGCAAACACTTCCACATTTGTGTGCCCCCCTCCTCCCAGCCTCATTAACTATGTGCAGGAGCAAGTCTGGAGTACACCAGCAAGTACACAAAGTCAACAAATAGTATTAGCAATAAGTGCTCTTTTTCCCTTAATCTCATCATATTCAGGGAATCATCCTTGTTGCCTGGAATAATCACCTGCTCTGTTTAGCCAAGACACACTCTGGAAACCTCAGGCAGCCGGTGGGGTACCTAAGCTGACTTGCCAAAGCATCAGCCCCCAAGTGCCGGATTTGAACCAGCAGCTGGAGCCTTTGCAGCAGAATCATTGCCTTTCCTGGTGTTGTATAATTTGTTACGGGTATTTTCTTGCCAATTCATCACATGCTGTCTGCTAGGTCGGTGCCGTGTTGAGCTCAGTGTTCAACCTTGCTGTGCTGGAAACCAAGAGCTGCCCGAGCCCAGGCAGGAGCATGGCCCACCGAGCCCCAGCAGATGCATTGGTGAGCAGGGCAATGATTTTGCACCAGTGGCAGATAGCAATGCTTGACTTGTAATTCTGCAAACATCTGCTCCCACACAGTCCAAAACTACCGCCAGAGCAATGGGGCCGCCTTTGCTCTCCCTTTGCAGGCCCATCCCTGGGAAAGCGGCAGTGGGACGGGGCTGCTGGCTGGTGGGGAACAGCGTTTCAGTGGCTGCGCTGCTCTGTGCACAGCCAACGTGCCTCAGCTGCATCAGGGGCCGATTCGCCGTCCCTGGCTGTAGAGCCGTTAGTGCCGATGGATGGAGCCCGACCGATGGGGGAACGGGCGTCTCTGCTGACCCCCTGAGCAGGGGCTGTGCCATGCTTGGTGGGATGCTGCACCTCGTCTGTGGGGAGCAGCCCTGGCACAGGGGCTGACAGCAGCCCCAGCACTGAGCGGAGACCACAGAACAGCTTGTCCTCTACTGGTGGGAGCTCAGCCTGAGACAGGAATTGGCCTCAATGGCAGCCAGCAGAGGCTGCGTGTCCCACAGAGGCCTTTCCCAAAGCCCTGCTCTTCTCCAGGGATGCCACCCCATCAGCCGGCAGCAGGCTTTTCAGCTCAGCAAGAAGCTACTTGTTTCAAAGGAAAACCATTAGCAGCTCAGCCCTTCACTTGAACCTATTGCAGAGAAGGTCTCACTCTCTCCTCCTCTCCTTATCCTAAGGAGATGCTCCTTCAAACTTGCTGTGCAGAAAATACAATGACCTTTTTCTCCTCACATGCACTTGTTCTCATTGGCAGGCCTATGCATGCTGCTACGGGGAGGGCACAGCAGTTAAGCACACATGAATAACCTCGCACTAGCACTGTAGACGTCTGTGTGATTTTTTTTTCAATGGTTCTAGTACCAAAATATCCCAGGCACAAAGGGATTTGGAGCCTACATTTATAGCTAATGATCTGTACAGGCCTCTGAGGAAACTGCACAGTAGCCCTGCTAATGGCTTCAAGGGGAAACGCTTCAGGCCCTGGCTGCTGCTGGTGCTGCTCGGGGTGTTCTGCTTTCAGCTCCAGCATGCGATAAAAACCCTTCCTTATTGTTGCAGATATGATGGCTCTTCTGGAGAGAGGAAAGGCATTGACTGAGCTAATGCCATTAACCACCTTTAAGCACACACAAAGGATGTAAAAGCAAACACCACCTGGTCATTCAGCAACTGTGGCTCGCTCAAACCAGCCCGTGCATTCCCTGGTGTGCCGGGCTCTTGGGGTGCTGTGTCACTGCCTTTCTCCGGGGGTGCCTGTCACTGCCCTTCTCCAAGCGCTGCCTACTCCCCCCACCCCAGGAGAGAGCAGGCAGTGACAGAGAGCCCAGGGTGCAGAGGTGGGGCACTGTGATCTGCAGGGCACTGAGGTCCCCCGCCACAAGCAAGGCAGCCTCACAGCCCCTGGCGCAAGCACTGGGTTTCATTCCCCACTCATTGCTTGCCCCTTCCCTCCCTGGGAAAGGCGAGAGGAGCTTTGCCTGAGAAAAAGCTGCCAGATGCGCTTTCCCTTTTGCGAAGCGTGTCTCAGCAGTGCCAGCCCGTGCATGCTCAAATCCAGCCGTGGCCACTGTCAGCTGCTGCATCTCGCTGCCCGTCGTGGGCTGAGTGTGACCTGGGCAAGGAGGTGCCCGCTCTGAGGGGTCTCCTCCATCTCGCCATTACCCCTTCCCGTGCAAACCACCCCGGCGTGCCTCCCGCCTCGGACTGACTCACGCTGAGGCAATGGTAAAAACTTGTTGCCCGTGCGGTGGCAGATTTTGCAATCTGTTTTAATGAGATATTTACAAGTTTGGAGGGTGGCTGCTTGCACAAGGAGTGCGGCCTGGCCCCTGCAGCTGGTTGGGCTTTTCATTGACATTCCTGCAACTCGCCCGATTGCAGCACAGGCACAGTGGAAAACATTCAGATATCAGAAATGCCAGATTAATTATCTCTTAATTGATACCTCCACTCGGGGACAAATGAAACCGGAACATCTCTACTGCCCTGGGAGCCTGCCACTTACAAACAGATTTACAGCTAAAAATACCGCAGCAGTCCCGTGGCTAATCAACTTCGCTGCTTACCCTGGGTGAGGTTATGAAATTGTCTCGGGCTGGGGCTGCAAGCGGTGAGGGATCATCTGCAGTGGCGGCACCCAACTGCAAACCCCGCGAGGGCTGCGTGGCGCTCCCAGCACCCACGAGCGTGCTGGCAGGCAAGGGGCAGCTCGCCCCACACGAGCCTCATGGCAGCCTCGGAACTGCAGTTACATTTCTCAAGCCCCTGATCCAGCCAGAGCCCCAACACGAGGCTTCTCGCACGTTCCTGCACCCATTGTTAGAGGCTGCAGGGAGAAAAATCTCATCCTTGTATCTTTTATAAGAGACCTTAAGTGCCCCATGTGTTTCCCCACAGTCTAAGATTTCCAGCTGGCTCAGGAATCCTGCTCGGAGCTTGCAAGGGCCTTTCTGCCTGCTACCCTCCCGCAGCCACAACACATCCCATGGGATCTCCACCCCACCCCGCCGCCATCTCCTTCCAGGAACGCACACACAGAGAGGCCAAATCGCCACAGCGACCCCGGTTTCTTTTAAATTACTGTCATCTTTATTTTCTTCACGTATGTGCAAACAGAGGAGATCGTAATGGTGGTGTTCTTAAAAATAACAAAATGTATTTGCATACATTTCCCTATGTACAGGTGAACAGCCACAAGTAGAGTCTTCTTTTGCACAGCAAAAGATCTAGAGCATTGAGACCGGGGACAGGACTGGGGCCCAAAAAAAGGGTCTAACTTAAAAATAATAATAAAAAAAAAAATTCACAACAGTGCAAACCTCTCGGACACGACAGCACGATGGAGTGACTTTAATGGAGAAAACGGCGGGGGGGCCCTCTCGGATGTGAGATTTCTGACTGTAAACAAGGCGCAACACCTCCCTCCCGCCGCCCTCCCCGGGGAAAGCTATTCCAGGAATTTGGCAGATCTTCAAGGGCTG